GCGTCCAGGACAAGCGTAGTGACGTACGGCCTTTACGTCTCCGACAACAACCAATCACAGYCTCCGTTGTGTCCCGTGCCGTGCTTTTAAACCTGTGTGGTTGGTTTCAGCCAATCAGCGCGCAGAGGGGCGGAGCCGCAGAACCAGTTTTAGCCCAGTTAGTTCTGCCTCGAGCACGGTGACAAACAGTTGCGCGTTCTTCCTCATCCACGAGCTCACGACTTGTTCTGCTGACACCAGGTAAGAGACGGTGCTCCTCACGTTGTTTTTATACTTTTTAAAGAGTTTAAAGTCATTTATTTAACCTCACAGCTTTGATCCATTGTGTCTGTGTGAATGTAGCGACTTYAAAGAACTTTTTAATATATATATTTATTAAAAAGTGTTTTTGTTACTTAATTTTTAAAGAAGCCGATCGGTTTATTTTATTTAAGATGAATTCTGCTGATTTGTCTCAACGTGGTTCGGTTCTGGGTCGTGTTGGGTTCGTGTGTGTGGCCCAGTTTAGTGCGCAGTTCAAACGCCATTAGGCTCGGCCGCGTCACGACGAAGTCGAGCAGGAGCCCGCGGCTCGGTTCCGACCCGCTTCCGGACGATGGTTCTGGGTGAAGTTTTTAAACACGGTTTTGTGAAAGTTGTCGGTTCGCGCTGGTTCGGTTCGGTTGGGGAAGTTTGGGGCGCAGCCGTCGTTTAGGCGGGAAGATACAAAATGGAGTCTGGTGTTTTTGTCCCGCAGAGACAGAAATCCGATTAGAGCTGCAGCCTGCTGCTGTCTGTCCTCTTCTCACCTCTTTTAACCTGTTTATATCTGTTTTTAACCTGTTTATATCTGTTTTTAACCTGTTTATATCTGTTTTTAACCTGTTTTTATCTGTTAAACACACGGTTAGTTCATTTAATCACTTTATATTAAATATACAGCTTTATTTAATCACTTATATCTGTTAAATAAACCATGTTTAACCACACACACACACACTTCACACAGTTTCTGCTTTTACACATTAAATTTCTAACTTTATTTAATGTTTCGGTGTCTTTCAGCCCATCTGCAGCCATGACGAAGGACCCCAACAAGCCCAGAGGGAAGACCTCCTCCTATGCCTTCTTCGTGGCCACCTGCCGTGAGGAGCACAAGAAGAAACACCCAGGAACCAGCGTGAACTTCKCTGAGTTCTCCAAGAAGTGCTCAGAGAGATGGAAGGTGAGGTGGTCTGAGCCGGCTGTCTTCCTGCAGGTAGGCTTGCTCTAATGTCCTCTCTGTGTGTTTCAGACCATGTCTGCCAAGGAGAAGGTGAAGTTTGATGAGATGGCCAAGAACGATAAGGTCCGCTATGACCGGGAGATGAAGTCCTACATTCCTCCTAAAGGTGCCAAGAAGAGCAAGAAGAAGAAGGACCCCAACGCCCCCAAAAGACCMCCGTGAGTCAGGCCTGCTCAGGTCTGTGTCCCCGCTGGAGGAGTTCTCATCTTAAAACTTGTTTTTTCTGTCCAGCTCTGCTTTCTTTGTCTTCTGCTCGGACCACCGTCCTCGCATCAAGGAGGAGAACCCTGGCATCTCCATCGGAGACGTGGCCAAGAAGCTGGGTGAGCTGTGGTCCACGCAGACCTCCAAGGACAAGGCTCCGTATGAGGCCAAGGCCGCCAAGCTGAAGGAGAAGTACGAGAAGGTACGTGTCCTCAGGTGTGTGTGTGTCCTCAGAGGACGTGTCCTCAGGTGTGTGTGTGTCCTCAGAGGACGTGTCCTCAGGT